TTGCCAAGGGTGTTCATTGGTGTAGTAGGATGTCACGTGGTGGCGTATTGCGTAGGTTATTCATTGGTGCAGAAGGATGTCATGTGGCGTATTGCGAAGGGTGTTCATTAGTGTCGTAGGATGTCACGTTGTGGTGTATTGCGAAGGGTGTAGTAAGTGCAGTAGAATGTCACGTGGTGTTCAGTGGCGTCATATGATATCGCGTGCATGTTGGCGTATTGGGAAGTGTGTTCATTGTTCATTGGCGTGGTAGTGGTAGAACAAATCATTGTGTGCATTAACATCCCGCAGTTTACACATTTTTATTGATGCGCTAATAAAGTAGAAGCATTTGGTCTCTTCCCCTCTGCAACTTTCCGGCACAAAACAATTCTGTTTCTTCTGCATATTAAGGGCTCTTTCATATTATCATTAGGCTAACCCAAGAGTACAGCTTTCGAAAGATCAACTCAAAAAGACGCAGAAACGTGTTGTTCAAGAGGAACCATCAGCTGACTGTTTTGATGAAGCACAATTAATGGTTCGTATTTTAAAATAAATTGGATTCTGGGGGGAATGCTTAAAACGCCGATATAATAACTACCAAAATCATGGATGGCTTGTATATAAAAACTGTTGCCTTCTGGCGACTGGGATAATTTCCGAGGATGAGAAATGGTCCAAAGGAAGAACAGCTTTCCGAAAAACGAAGCTTCGAGGACATATGCGATGTTTCGAGCACCATTTTGTTATCAAAGGAGAGTCGATCTTGCAGTGAGCCTAAAGGGGTTTATTTATTTTATAACCAACAAATATTCACTGGTATGGAATTATCTAACTAAAAGCTTTTTCCATTGTTTGACATTAGTCGTTGATTTGTTTCGTTGTTGTTGTTGTTTATATATATATATATATATTTTTTGGTTATTAGTAGTTTATGAAAGACGAGTTATAAAACAAACCAAAATATTCGTTTGCATAACATTATGAATGCTTAGTATTAAAGCTTAAAGCTTTTGAGGTTTTCTTCTTTTTTTGCTGGCTTACTTTTGTCAACCAGTYTTTCTATTTCACTCTCACTCGTTCTCAAAAACCGAGTTTCTTTGTTTTTTCTCTTCGTTTTTTCGTAATTTATTTTAGGATGGCTATCACTTCGGACGGGGGATTTCCGTTTTCTGATACCCGTCCTGCACGTGACCAATTTGAACCAATGAGAGTGCGCGATACAGGACATGCAGCATGCTAGGTGATATGTAGGAAAATGATTAGCCAATCAGATCRCGAATCACTTTCCGAAAAAAAATCTCATGTGCCTTGTTTGTGCCGTGCGCACAATCAACAAGAAAAAAGCAAGAAGATGTGTCATTTAGCCGAGGGTTTAAGGCTTWAAAATATTCCTACTTTAAAGAATATGTTGTTTAGATGAGACTCGAAATTTAGCTTCATCTGCYAAGTTATATCGGATCGTTGTTCATGGCCGTTTTTGATTAAAGAGTTATCGCAAACTCCGCAATTTCTGTTTTAAACCTTAGTAAGAGCTTCAAATCTGYTATTGAGAGCTACTAGCTCTAAACAAGAAAGATTTATGGTGAGAAAGTCGCAAATACCTTCCTTTCAAGATGTCCGCTACCAAACTCAAGTGCAGTGAGTGTGCAGTGGTTGATGGGAATTTATTCTTTTAGATATCGACAGAAAGTCATGCTTTGCACGCCTAGTGGGCAAAAAGCGGGGAAGTTTAAAAAAACTTTCCTGGTTCGTGTGATGTTACATTAAATTCATTACAGACGTTATCACCGGAAAAGTTGTATAATATCACTAGTTATCATATGACCCGTACGGCCCTGCTCGCGCGCTCTAATAAAACCATTGGAAAAAGTCACGTGATGGGGGCCGGACGGCTTTGAGTGAGCAGGGCCGTACGAATCCGTACGGCCCTGCTCGAATCTGCGCGCTTTCTCTTTTTTAGCTTTTATTTACTATTTCTTTCTTTTATTTTTTATTGGTTTTTTCGTGAGGGTCATATGATAAAATGCTTATTGACTGAGTTAGGTCGGGCCGTACGGGAAAATATTTGGCTCTCGGTCATTTGTACGGACCTCGCTGCGCTCGGTCCGTACGGCATCACCTCGAGCCAAATATTTTCCCGTACGGCCCTCCCACTGCAGTCAATAAGTACATAATATTAACAAGAGAAAATGAACTAAAAATAGCATCAAAGAGTGCTCATGATGCCGGGGGCGCGGAGACTCCTTCTCTTAGTTTTTATTCTCTTGATATTTGGGTTATCGTGTATTGAAGTGCTCGTAGTCCAAATATAACTGAACATACAAGTAAAAATTACCTATTGTAACACCAAAAAAGCAGTAATAGYATTGAAAAGCTGAGACAGTCTCTTTTGACAAGTATACTGATAGCTCGTGCTCGTGTGCTCTGCTACACCCAACTTTACACCCCTTCACCTGCTGCAAGTTCTCTAGAATGTGCCAAAATGGTAATTTAAAAAATATCTCGTTTGAACCAGGTGTATGAGCTGCTTGGACAAGACCAGTTTTATGGTGCATTTTTAAACAGTCAAGCATATATGAGGTATGTGAGGGAATTAACTGAATACTGACAACGTTCATATCATTGTAATAACAAGTATGCATACTTCATTGTTATCTCTTTCATGTCTTAAGGTGTCTTTTAGACCTGGATATCTTGAAGGAGAAATCAGGTAAATATTATATACTCAAAGTCTGAGTAAATACTAATTGATTAGCCTCACATATTAGATTTGGATTCACGTGAGCGCATGACTTGTTGAGCATCTGGTGGCCCAATAGTCTCTTACGCAGCCGCTATTACAGTGAGCGTTGCGTGACGACACTAATAGCRGCTGCGTAGGAGTCTAGTGGACGAGAATGAACTTTATATAAACATATTTAAAAAAGAATTAAACCCGCGTCACATTGGTGAGAGCCAGGCGCGTTATCACCCGCTACACCACCCATGCTTCCCAWCTTTGCCCATTAACGTCCTTAACCATGTTACCTTTCACTGTTTATGGGTTTTGGTCAAATATATCTCATCCAATCATTTAACTTTTATTGTTATTAGAGGATGGTGATGGARGCTCTGCAAATGATGAGGGTAAGATACATGGCACAATCGAAATAAGTAGCATGTACCTCTCCGCAACGTATACAATAATCGGCATGAAGATTCTTTTTGATTTTTATTCCCGTAGACTTTGAAACAAGAAGTATAACAGAAAGCATATCATCAGACTTACAAGAGGTAAGTATCAGTCGGTGATCATTCTTGTCAGGGCATTGTGTTGTGTATATCATATTGATTATAGCTTGTAATCAATTCTAGGATATGGTGCATAGCGATAAACTTTGGACACCAGATGATGATCTTCGTTTAACCGCAAGTATTGATCAAATCGGTGAGTGACATTAAGTGAGAACAGACAGACAGACAAACAAGTGGCGGCAATAAATGAATATTATTTTATTGATGAAAATAGGTATGTGCAAAGATGCGGGCAAGTCTTATGCTGTCTATGTTATTTCTGTGTTTCGTGCCACTCAAGATGGGACAAACTCTTGGTCAGTCTATCGAAGATACAGTGACTTTGATGATCTTCATATGCGAATCAAAGACAAGGTATGTGTTTTACAAGTCATCCATCCAAGGAAACACAGCTCGCCGGCTTCCATCCACTATGACAAATACAATATGACAAGTGAATACCTACTGCAGTTAGCTAAGATCGGGAGGTTGGAGTACAGTGGTTCTAGTGTTTMATTTTACATTTTATTGTTAATGACAGTTTGGGACTATAACGGAACTACTTCTTCCTGGTAAACGAACTTTTCGTAACATGGACAAGGACTTTCTGGAGAAGCGACGTGCTGCGCTCGATGCTTACATACAGGTAAAAGTTTAGAATGTAGAACAAACTACGACTCGTTATTTGGGCTACCTGTGGTTACGCTGGAAAATCTGCGGGAATGTTAGCATACTTCACAGACTTCTTTGTCACGCAACGTTTCCTTCCCCACGAATATCAACTTGAGTAAAACATTCTTTTTCCAAAAATTGAAAAATCCGCATGAAGTTTTTAAAATCGAGAAGGTTCATGCTGATTGATCCATCGGAACTGACTTTGCGACAACAAAAATTGGGTATCTCGTAGAAGCGTTGCGTTACAGACACTAAGAACGTCTGCGTAGGGCCGAATGTGCAACTACGAACGAGCGAACGATCCAATTTATTTGATGGATTAGGAAGCGTTCCCCTTGGTCGAGCGCAACAACAAATAAAGCTTTTACTATAGGTAAATGTTTTGAATATTTGATAAGCAGCTCTGATATATGTTTYATATAAATCATATAGAAAATTAGCTGCGCACAATGCTCTGGTAGCAGTCATTTTCCAAATTCATCGGATTACCTTTGTTTCAAAGGCAATACTGTCGACAAATCTTTTGGAAAGTTATCCTGGTTTATTCGAGATTGTTGCTAATTTTTTGGAAATTGGTAAATACGCGCGTGAGAAAGGACAGTTCGCTCGAAAGGTAAGCCATATAATTCGTTTCCCATTCAATCATAGAACAACTTTCTTACCACTTTTCTTTTCTTTTTTAATCTATATATCTATATCTAT